GAGGGAGGGAAGGGGTGACGAAGACAGATATGACATTCTTGTAATTATTAAACAGTAATACAAACATTACCAGGATATGACTCTGTTGTTCTTTGCACCACGTCGGCCATAACATAGCTGAATCGTCTATTCGTGAAAATATAGACTTCTGTGGGTCAAAAACAAAGTGATATTAGATCTATCGGAAGAGTCGAGACGAGGTCCCGCAACCAAGATCAGCATGCCCTGCGTTCAGTGATGTAACCATGTAACATTTGGTGCCTGTCAATCTCAGCTCCAACGAAGATGAAGACCATGCCATTGGTCAATTCCCAAGTCCACACGTGGAGCACAATAATACCGAAAGATCCTTCATCCAAGACACATATCAAAAGGTGCGGTGGGGGCCATAACCTGTCAAGTCGGCGAGTAGAGCAGACAAACATTGCAATAGATATAATGTAATGGCTTTGAAATCTAGGTATATATATATATATTCTATTGTAGTCTATTCCACACCTTGTCTAGATGCCTTGTTGTAATCATGATGCCCGCGTATGCCCGCTGTGTCATCAATGCTTTCCCACAACGCCTTGAAGAGAACTCCAACAGCCACTGCGGGCTATCTTGAATCTTAATTTGAGTGACGCTCCTCGCATCGGTATATCTAGACAGTATATTGTTTCCCTGCGGGGTTGCGTGTTTAGGTATCGCCGTCTCATACGTGAGTGGTGGCGACCTCGGCGGTCTCCTCGGCCTTGCCAGACAGCTTGACCTCGCGGCGGTGGTCCCACGAGTCCGAAGGAACCCAGTGCTTCGACTTGTGCGCAACGGTGACCTCCTCGTACAGCTGGTCGACCTCCTCCAGACTCAGGCCCTTGGTCTCGTAGATGAAGAACCAGACGAAGGCGATGCACAGGAAGCAGCAGCCGAACCAGACGAAGAAGATCTTGGACTGCAGGTTCGCGTAGCCGTCGCCGTAGTTGACCAGGTACGGGGTCGAGAAGGCGATGGCCCAGTTGAGCAGCCAGTTGGTGGCCGTGGTCATGCTGAGCGACTTGGCGCGCGTCTTGAGCGGGAAGATCTCGCCCGTGACGACCCAGGCGAGGGGGCCCCAGGTGGACGCGAAGAAGAAGATGTAGATGCAGGTGAAGGCCACGGCGACCTTCTGGCCGGCCAGGTTCTTGACGAAGATGTCGCCGTTGTCGAGCTGGCCGGTCGACACGGTGCCGGTGACGGCGACGATGAGCTGCGAGACGGCCATGCCGACGGCGCCCCAGAGGAGCAGCGGGCGGCGGCCCCACTTGTCGATGAAGTACATGCCCGGGATGGTGGACGCGACGTTGATGCCCGAGGTGATCATGGAGATGGTGAAGCCGCTGGAGACGCCCGAGTTCTGGAAGAACTTGGTGCCGTAGTAGAAGATGAAGTTGATGCCTGTTGGGTTTCTCACAGTCAGCATGGGGGAGGAAAACAAAAAAAAAAAGAGCAAGAAAGTCTCTTTTTCAAAAACATACCTGTCAGCTGCTGCAGAGCCTGCAGGGCCATGCCGGTGAACTGCCGCTTCAGGATGGGGGGCTTGAAGCAGTCAAGGTAGGTGCCCTCGCCCTGCTGCATCTCGAACTCGTGGTTGGCCTGGATCTCTGCCAGCTCCGCGCGGACAGCCGGGTGGTCGACGGGCAGGCGGCGGATCTTGCTGAGCGACTTTGCCGCCTTGTCGATGTTGTCCTTCTTGATGAGGTACCGCGGCGTCTCGGGGAGGATGAGCATGCCGCCGAACAGGATGAGCGACCAGGCGAGCTGGATGGAGATGGGGATGCGGTAGGACCCCGTGTCGTTGCGCTTCGAGGTCGCGTTGTTGACGATGGCAGCCAGGAGCAGACCGATGGTGATGGCCCATTGGTAGGCACCGACAATGACGCCACGGATCCATTTGGGCGCGGTCTCGGACTGGTAGAGGGGGACTGTGTTTTGGGAGAGAAGTCAGATCAACAGCGCCGTGATATATGATAGCCTAGCGATGGTACTCACCCATGGCCGAGATCAGGCCGACTCCGAGGCCAGCAAAGAAGCGACCAGCGAGGAACAAGGGCAATGACGTAGCAGCCGTGTGCAAGACGACTCCGAGGTTGAACACCCAAGTGGAGATCAGGAGACCAGGTCGACGGCCGATCCAGTCGGTAAGGAAGGGCGAGGCCAGGGCACCGAAGAAGGTACCGGCCGAGAGAATGGAGACAACGGCGGATTCTTGGGAAGTCGTGATGTTGGGGTTTCCTTGGGGGTCGATGTAGCCGGTGCTGAACAGCCGCTGCCAGTAGGGCATGGCAAGAATGCCGCTGATGGTTCCCGTGTCATAGCTAGAGAGAGCAAGGGTCCGATTAGCCTTCAACCCGAAGAGTTCGAGACAGAAGCTGGCGCATACCCAAAGAGAACACCGCCAAAGGCCACAAAGAGGCCCATGGCGATAGCGGCCCATGAACTTCCCGGCTCGCCCTTGGGCTTTGAAAGGGCAATTGATTGAATAAAGCCCATTTTGATAAGTGGACTTTTGGTCACAAAATCTTCGATGTGGGTGAAGGGCTCCAAGGGAGATGGAGATGTTGGAGATGAAGATGTTGGATCAAGCCAGGAACGAGGGCCGGATCAACGCTTTTAAACAATTCCCCAGTCATTCTTCATAACTTCTGCCCCATGGGCAATCTACACAAATTGCGGGCTACACCTTTTCTACACCTGTCCCGTGCGGTATGGAGCACGACTGGCCAGATCAGTCGGAATGTCCGACGATCACGTCAGGGGCGGGATGGGCATGCTATCTGGGTGTCAAGGTCTGTGAATAGGGCCGAGCCTTGTAACGACATCCCAGCCTGGCCTCTCCATCGAGGGTGGAGCGCACGTGTGTGGGCAGTTGAGAAAAAAGGAAAAACATTCCATTTCCCCTTCTAGAAAGAATTCCATGGCACGCACGCGCGCGTTTGAGATTCACCATCCATTCTCGTGGCTGATGCCAAGGAGCCGTGGATGGGTCGGGCCCCCGACACGGACCCTGGGGTAGCAAGTCGGACCGTTTCCCCCGGCTGTTGGTCTGGAGGCAACTCGGCTCCCTCGTCTCGATCGATCGAAACAGTGCTGCCAATAGTCGCAGAATTGCGCGCCGAAACAAATAGGTTCGATGATTGCCGTCTTGTGACTGGTTGCGATCTACCACGAGGACATACCTCCGTCGGTATCCAGCATCAAATGTCAGGAATGAGATTCTATGCAGTATTCACTTGCCACTGTCAACGCACCGATGAATGAGAGTCAGCGCAATTAGTAACTCCAGAAGCCCAAAGCCATGGCGCAACGCGCACGAGAGCGAACGCTAAGACGGGGACACGGCTGCTCACCTCAACACTGGTGAACTGGTCAAGGGCTCTACCGGCTTTCGCCGCCTCTTGATGGCTGCTTCATCCATGGTCTTCGCTTATTTAGTGTCTGTATATGCAGCTACGCTACTACTTCCTAGTGTGGTCGAAGTGCACCAACCAATGCGTAGCTGGAGGATGAGAGGGTGTGAAAGGGTGGGAGAGTGTGGGAGAATGTGGGAGTGAAGAATGTGTGCTCCGTTCCTCCAGAACCCCGCCTCGCCTGACCAGCTCTGGACTCTCCTCCTCCGCAAGCTTCCATCGACCTTCTAGTGTGCTTCTAGTCTATGCGGTGCAGCACCCATCCCAGTCACGGCTTCTTTAAAGTGCCGAGAGCTCTGCAGCCCACGGACGCGCCGTGCGGCACGCTGCGGGATTTTGCCTTCTCACCGTGATACGGCCACCAAGATCGTATGCAATCTGGCGAGCGGTCACCCCACAGCCGTGGGGGGTGGTTCTGGGGTGCTGTTCTCTCTTCGCCCAACGGATCTCCCGGATGGCACCATCTTCGACCTACCGCGATAGAGACGTAGACAGATCTCGAGATCTGTGATTTGCTTGGCAAGTGATCGGCAGCTCGCACCGCCAAGGACAGTTCTGCCGCCATCGTGTCGCAGTCGAAGCTCTGAATGTGCGCCTTTGCTCGTCGGGATGCCAACCTCCATCAGCATCACCCATGTCTTGGCCAATACTCGGCTTGTCCGGCGATAAAGAACCACATGAAGAGCGCTGACAGAATGCAATGACGAGGTCGGATTGAGCGACGATGAGTGCGGAGCCAGCCCTCTTTGTTGGCTTGGCATCTAGACTCTGACGCCCTTGCTGTAGTCAAGTGCTTGTGGAGATCAGCGCTCGCTAGATTCGTCCGTCTCGGAGAGTAACAAAGCGTCGTGGGGACACTCTGAGAGAGTACAAATATGACTGCCGCCTTTCCTCAAACCATTCCAAAGATACAATTCTTAGCATGCTCTACTTTCTACTTTCCTTCAGGAACCTGCCTCTCCCTCGTCCCATCATGAGTTGCCTTGCAGCTTGATCTCTTTCTTGAGTGCTCTGGCATTACGGAACAGCTAATCTATCTTGGGGTAGCTGTCTTCAAGCAGCTTTCGGACAGTGCTCTGGGACTTCATCATCGCTTCGAGACAGAACATTAGGGTCTGAGAACTTGATGGACAGACCACTCAGCTAGGTAGCCAGAGATAGCATCAATGTCTGCAACCTGCTTGTGCTGAGAATACTCTGCGTCTGCCATACCTACCGCCACACATAGTACTTAGGTCAGGTCCAGCAGAAAGGGCAGCATCATCGTCTCTTTGACTAGCTCTCCTCAGACGCTCCCTTTCTCGAACTCTAGTAATTCCACACTAGGCTCATACAGAGAGTGAAGGTGGTGTGCTGGGGAGAGAGCTGACGGGGAGCCAATAGCGAGTTCCCCGCACGCTATCGTGCTGTTGGTTTCTACTAGTGTGGGGGGGAGACGGGGACACCCTCAGCTTTGCCTGGCAAGCCTGGGTACCCCAGCCCAAGCATTGCAGCTAGCAGGGGCTGGCCTTCTGCTGCAGGTGGAATGATTCTATGCGTCTGCCAAAGAGGGTGTGGAGGAGAATTTTCGCGCCGTGCATTGAGCTACAAGTACCCAGGCCGCGCCGTTGTCTGCTCAGTCTCCCCCCCTCCGGCCGCATCGTGTTCTTGGATTCCCTCGTCGTGCGTGATGATGACATTATCAGTCTGAATTGGCTGTATCTGGTGCCTGTTCTATTGAATGTCTCTTGAGAGTGCCACCAACCATGGCCGGCTTTCAGATCGCACCCGCGGCCAAGCCCACGGACCCCGAGAAGATCACCCTCGAGGCGTGGTCGCAGGGCTTCATGGTCGGCGCGTTGATCGTCATGGCGGTGATCACGCTGGTTAACCTACGCAAGGGGGTGCTCCTGCATAAACTCATTCTTATCGAGGTTTGTGGCCCCGAGCAGAGTCGCGACAGCTGTCAGTGGGTGCTAATGTCTCCTGGACGATGCAGTTAGCCCTCGCCGTGCCCAACGGTTTCTTCATGTTCCCCAACCCGCCGGTGTGGGGATGGTTCCTGTCATCGACGGTCGTGCCTCTCATCGCATCTTGGTCGCTGCACAACGTCATCGCCTGGATAAAGAACAAGCCCTTCCTGGGGCAGACGTCAAGCCGCGTCTACATTGGCACCGTCATCCTGGCCCAGCCGTACTGGATACTGGAGATATATGCCAACTTTGCCTACTTCAACAACGTCGGCAACACGCAGCTGTTCATCAAGACCCGCCCCTTCGAGGCGCTCTGTCGGTAAGCATGTCTGGTGGCCATCCACTCTCTCTTTCGCGAAAGCCCTCACTTACACTGGCTCCCAGTGACCCTTGGTGGATCTTCACCACGATGAATCTCTTTTACAACATCCGCTACCGGTATGAGCTCAGAGTGGTCGACATCGTCAGGGTCTGCCCCCGCTTCGGCGTCCTCCTCTTTTGCATGACGCTCAGCGTCGTCTTCATCGTGATCGACCTGCTCTCCGTGACGCCCGTCATCCCCATCGGGGTCATCAACCCGTTTTGGAAGTTCTCCATGGTCTTCAAGTGCTTGTCCGATACCATCATCCTCGACGACTTCAAGACGGCGCTCGACAAGCTGAGCCGGCACCGGAGGTCCCAGATCCTTCCCTTTGATGCTTTTGCGAATACACAGTGGCTGTCGGATGGGCGGGCCCCCGGCTATGATGAGAAGAAGATATGCCCAACGCGGTCGCACTCGGGACACGCCTCTGTCCAACAGATTGAGACAGTGGGCGATGGTAGAAGACCAACAATCTCCTTTCCTCCGCCCACGTTTTCCTCAGGGTTGTGTAGTAAGACGCCGTTATAGAGAAAGAAATGAAATAATGACATATGTAATGAATGGTTTTCAGAATGTGATGAATTGTGTCTGGCTAGATGCATCGATCTGAGCTGCCCCTTGAACCTCTATCATGATTTTGCGGTCTGATGGTGAGGACCGTACTATTCATGTTCACGAATTTGTGCCGACCACGGCGGAGGGATCAAATCTACCTGTGAAACCCAAGACAAAGGGGAATTCAGGGGTATCAGACCTCTAGAGGATCACTTCAAGAGGCAAACATTGTTTATATACTCCTCTTGGTATTTATCTTGTGGTTAATTTGGGACCAGTTCCGAACCACGACCGCTAATTAACATTCAGCTCGCGCTGCGCCTCAACACGGTGACCCAGAAATGGAGTCCGACAGTGGAGCCGGCGATCATGAGAGCGAAAAGCTCCAGGTTTCAGCTCAACTCTCATTTCCGTGAAACCCTCAGTCTCTCCTCCATTCAACAACAACCAGTCACTTGAACACCTACCCAGACCACGCCGCGCAGACGACCGTTTGCGCACAGAGCGAGGGCCCCGCCCGCGCACATCGTCAACACAAAAAAGATGGTGGAGGTCACGGCCCTGGACTGGATCGTCTTCTTCGCGGCGATCCACGTCACCGTGGCGATCATGGTCGCATTCCACCTGGGGGACACGTACGTGCCGGCCTGGGTCAAGGACGACGGCTGCCTCTGCGTCCTGACCCCGCTCTTCTGCGTCGGCCCGGCCCTCGCCTGGCCCTTCGTCGCCGTCTACTACCTCGGCCTGAGCGCCGCGGGCGGGCTGCGGCGGGCGTGGGAGTACAGCATGTCCAGGGACTCGTTCTGCGGCATCCCGGTCAGGAGGAGGAGGAGGAGCAGGAGCAGGGGGGTCGGGACGGAGGCCGACTACCACGAGCTCGGGCAGGCGGAGGAAGGGGTTCGGGCGGGGTCGCCTCCGGGGCGGGAGGTGGCTGTTGCGCCCGGGCCGCAGGCGAGGATGTCGTTCGAGTCGGAGGAGACTCTGGGGAAGTGAGGGAGAAACCAACACACGCCGTGCACGGCGTCGTCGCGGGCGGACATTTGGTTATTTGTCGACAGACATGGGATTGAGGCAAGTCGATCAGGGCCGACTCATCACGGTCGCATGTCAGAGAGCAGGACAGGAAGGAGGATGTGCACGACGCACAGGCATCTGGACGTCCCGATCAGTGTCGGACAGAGAACATGTCCAATTGAAGCGACTGGATGCGTCCGATTAGCCATCATCCATCGACGTCTGAGAGGCACCGGCAGTAGCCAGTAGCGCATTGCAGTCCGGTGCATCCGACGAGCCCTCACGCGCGAGATCAACAGTATCAGCCTGGGAGATTTACAAGCAGATGTAAACTATGTAATGATCAAAATGAAGATCCAACTGCCTGCTTGACGTTGAAGAGTAACCAAAGCAAACGACACAACTGGCCATGCTGGCGTGTGCGCGCCTAACTCTGTGGCTTTAGCGCCAGTGTGGCTTGCATTGGCGGAGGACCACTTTAATCTTTGAGAACACGAAGGCCGACTGCAGCTCCAGCTCGGTCAGAGAGCCTCCCCTCCTTCCTCCTCATCCCCCACCATTTGATCTTCTCCCCGTCGGACAATGGCCTGAGCGATGAACGGGGGCAATTCATTTCTGGGGCGGACGGCCGGCCTCTTTGCCGCCGCCGCAGCCCTGCGACTGGTGCTCTTCACCCTCTTCCCCGGCCTCCCAGACCTCCTGACCGGACGCGTCGAGATCTCGACGCCCGTAACGAGCTTCAAGCGCCGTGAGTTGCTACCTCCCCCAGCGGTGCGCACGCCCAATATGGGCCCATCGTTCGCGACATGTGGATGCTGACCCCCCCCCCGCGTGAGCAAACAGTGCAAGAAGGCCTCTTCCTCTACAACCACAATGTCTCGCCGTACGACGGCGGCGTCTACCACCAGGCGCCCCTCTTCCTGCCGCTCTTCTCCCTGCTGCCCAGCTACACCAGCTGGCCCATCTTCACCAACCTGCTCTTCGTGGCCGTCGACATCCTGAGCGCCGACGCCCTCGTCAAGATCGCCGACTCGTGCGAGGCCGGCTCCTCGGCCCTCTTCAAGTCGCCCCGGCGCGACAAGCGGTGGAGCGGATACGTCGTGGCTGCAGTGTGAGCAAATTTGATTGATCTGTTATTGCCGTCTGGGAGGGGACCTCGATCGGATCTAACCAAATTTCCAACAGATACCTCTTCAGCCCCTTCACCGTGGCGACCTGCATCGGCCGCTCGACCAGCGTCTTCACCAACTGCGCCATCCTCCACGCCATCGCCAAGGCCATCGCCGGCGCGCCCCTCGGCGCCATGGTCGCCCTCTCCTTCGCCGCCTACCTCTCCATGTACCCGCTGCTGCTCCTCCCGGCCCTCGTCCTCCTCGCCTACGACCGGCAGCCGGCCCCGCCGTCCCCGCACCACGTCTCCTCGGGCCTGCGCTTCGCCGCGCTGCACGCGGCCGCCGTGGCCGCCTGCCTGGCGGTGCTCTTGGGCATGTCGTACCTCGTGACGGGCGGGTCCTGGGAGTTCCTGCCCTCGACCTACGGCACGCAGCTCACGCTGTCGGACCTGACGCCCAACGCCGGGCTCTGGTGGTACTTCTTCATCGAGATGTTCGACTCGTTCCGGTCCTTCTTCCTCGCCGTCTTCTGGCTGCACCTGGCCTCGTACGTGGGCGGGCTCTGCGTGCGCGCGCGCGCGCAGCCGCTGGCCGCCCTGGCGCTGCTGGCCGGCATCTTCGCCATCTTCAAGCCCTACCCCAGCATCGCCGACACGGCCCTCTTCCTGGCCCTCGTGCCGCTCTTCCGGCACGTCTTCCCGCTCATGCGCTACACCTTTGTCGTCGCGGCCGCCATCGCCTACGCCGCCTTCCTCGGCCCGGCGTTCTACCACCTCTGGATCTACGCGGGCAGCGGCAACGCCAACTTCTTCTACGCCATCACGCTCGTCTGGAGCCTGGGCCAGAGCCTGCTGGTGTCGGACCTGACGTTTGCGATTCTGCGCGACGAGTGGGAGGTCGACCGGCCCGAGATGGTCAACAAGGAGATCCGGCAGATTTGAGTGGGTGGCTGCGGGAGTAGCGTAGCCTGCAAGGGTGTGTGTGTAGCTGTGGACTGTGGTGGAAGAGTGTCGGGGGGCCTCAACAGCATCACGATCCAAATTGGAGCCAGGCACAGTTCTTGACATGAGCAAGCCAAGGAGATCAGAGAGTTCGGGTGAGAAAGACCTGCAACATAGATAGACATAAAGCGGTGTATGTTCTGCAGCCTTGGGATCCGTGCAGTTCACGGAATGTACGATGATTAGATCTTATTATGACGATTACAAGAAAAAAAACGCTTGCACTTTTTTTTATCATCTATTCCCTGTAGTCCTTCCGTGCGTTAATCCGTGAAGTACACGTACATACATACACACACACACTGTGTCTCCCATTCCCGTATCCGCACAGGTAGGTAGGTAGCTATATCATAACAAGCCCACCCCCAATCTTACTCATACAAAAACACCAACCATACATCGTACACACACACATACATACATACAACCTCCGCCCGGCTGCATCCAATCCAACCCACGACATCATCACGACGACCCACTGCCGACCTCGACATCCACCTCAACCACCTCAGGCCGCCCGCTCATCTCGATCGGCACCTCCTCGTACTCCCCGCCGAGCCCGGACCCGACGCCACTGGCCCCACCGCCAGCGTACCCCTGCGGCGCCCGGAAGCCGCCGCCGGCGCCGTCGCGGCCACCACCAAAGGAGACCCCAGCAGAAGAGGAGGACGAGGAGCCGTACAGGCCGAGCAGCGCGCCGGCGGCGCCGAAGCCCCGCGCCGGCCGGCTCCAGCGGTACACGGCCTCGCCAAAGGCCGGCACGCGGCGCCAGGCGAGCACGCCCGCCACGAGCGCGGAGCCCAGCACGGCGGCGCAGAAGGCGTGCAGCAGGTCCCGCCGGCGCTGCTGCCGCCGGGCTATGTCGTCGCTCGTGGCCGCCCGCAGGCGCAGGTCCCGCGCGTGCAGGGCGTCGCCGACGTGCGGGGCGCTGCGCAGCGCGCCGCGGAGGAAGCGCGCCGCGAGCGAGGAGGAGGACGCGGTAGTGGACGGGCCGGTCAGGGTCAGGGGCGCGGCGGGCGGGATGGCGGCGCGCAGGGCGGAGGTGAAGGCCGTCAGGGCCGCGAGGGACGGCTCCGAGGCGAGCAGGTCCCGCAGCCAGCGGCGGGGCAGGTCCGGGACCAGCATGAGGGAGAGGTACGCGTAGGCGAGGCAGTCAACGCTCGTGGGCGCCCTGCCGTCGCCTCCGGCCGCCGCCGCCACGAAGGAGAGGGCGTCGTCGGGCGCCGCGCGGCGCAGGGCCTGGGCCAGCGGGTCGAGGCACGACGTTCGCGCCGTGGACCGGAGCTTGTTGACGGCGCGCGTCTCCTCCGACGTTCTGTCCGCGGCTCCGAGTCTGCCCTGGTTGATGTAGTCCGCGATGGTCTTGAGGCTGGGCGGCGGCGGCCTGGGCCTGCCGCTGGTCTCGGCGCCGTCGGGCGGGACCTCGGCGTCCGGGTCGAGGTCGCCCAGGCCCAGGCCCTCGGCCCGCTGGAGCATGGCGTCGCGCACGAGGGGCGGCTCGACCCAGGTAAGGGGGAAGGGCAGGATGCGGCTGTAGGCCGGGCGGACGACCTCGCTCCAGTTGGTGTGGGAGGCGTAGAGCGAGAGCGCGACGAGGGGCGCCGCGCGCGAGGCGAGGAAGGCGGCGAGGGCGTCGGCGTCGGCGCGCTGGGCGGGCGTCAGGCGGGCGTCCGGATCGTGGTCGAGGCGGGAGGAGGAGGAGGTGGAGGTGGAGGCGAGGTGGGAGACGATGGGTCGGTAGCCCGAGACCCAGGAGCCGGTGGCCCGGTCGTACAGGGAGGGGAGGACATCTGCGAATGGACCGAGTGAGCAAAGGATCTGCAGGTCAAGGCGAGGGGGGCAAGAGGAGACGTACGTGAAGGGACGGCGGAGGGGCTGGTGGTGACGAGGGTGAAGGCGGTGGGCGGGAGGACGAAGCTGGCGTAGGTGATGAGGGCGAGGGACTCGGCGTCGATGGAGGGCAGGCCGCATGCGGGGCCCCAGACGTGAAACTCGAGCATCGTGGCGGCGCACGAGGAGCAGCGAGCTGTAGCTACCTATGCTCTGGAAGGAAGAGCAAGCTTCTGGTTGCGACCCTGGTAGACGCCGAATAAGGTGTGAGCACGGCACCTGCAGCTGAGCCGCCAGCGTAACGAGGAACGGGCGGCTAGTTCGGGCGGAGAACGGATGCAAGCGCCTGCTGGTCTGGCCTCGTCGCGCGTAGAGAATGTCTCGGTTTAGGCTTTTTAGATGGTTGTTCTCTCCTCCGCAGACGCAGAAGAGCAGTACCTAACTATGCAGAGAGCTGCGGAAGTAGCGCGCGCCCGCCGAAGGGGCATGAAATGAGGATGTTCAGTGGCTGGCAGGGGCAGGATGATCGCCAGGGTCCTTTTCTTCTCTGGGGCCGAGGGCGAGACGAGCACACAGCGGAGCCCGTGCCAATCTCGTACCTACCTAGCTCTCAGCTGGTCTAGGAAGCCAGATTCCCCTTTGCGTGCAAGCTTGACGTCAAAGTGCGGAACAGACAAGTCACTCGTTGGTTGCAAAGGAACCTCAAATGAAGGCGGAATAGGTCTCGCGGGAGGTCAGGTCGGTCGGGCTAACTCGTGCCGCTGTCGGTGCGGAACGAAACCCAAAGTCTAAAGGCCAAAGTCAAATAGAGAAGAGTGGAAATATAGCGGCCACCTGTGCATCAGTCCAGTGCATCCTGCAGCGAGGGCGATTGGCTCGTGGGGCAAGAAACAGCGTTTTTGAGTTTGAAGCTGTCTGGGGCCGTTTCGGCGGGCGGCAAGATGCAAGATCCAAATCGTGGTCGGTGCGTCGAGCACGTGGAACAGAATCACGCATGAGATAAACCCAACTGGAACCCATCGAGACGGATGCATGTAACTACCTACATGTACATACATACGGTACAACGTCGCTCTGTACCTGACCGGATTGATATCACACTTGTCCATCGTCCTCCTCCTCACTCCTCCTCCTCCACCACCCCCCGCCCACCCTCGATCAGCAGAGTTTCATTGGTAAATCACCACTATCAGGAACAAGAAGGTTTATCTCTCTACAAGTACGTCCTGGTCTCTGACCGCCCCTTTTTGAAAGGAGACAAGATCTGTCGACATTCGCCACCGATCAACAGACAGAAGTTCGGGACGGTCTGTTTTAGCACGTTTCAGCTTCAGACTCTAGCACTGGCTTTTTGACATTTCGCGGTCCGCTCCCCGGCTGGGAAACAAAGAACACAGGTGGGTGGCTTGATGGCTTGAAGGTCCAAATTCATCATCACTTACGTAGTTTGCTCCTCTTACACTACACACACACACTCTCTCTCTCCATCCATCCCTGGTACCTGAACACGAACGACCCTGAACCTGACCCGAACCCGGAGTTCCATCCCGTTGATCCATCCAATCCTATCTCGGGCACACGGGGTTTACAACGTATTGCAGTTAGCTTCCCACCGCAAGCCCAAAACCTGTCACTAACTTCCCAAGTTACGCCATCTTGAACCCGGCCGCTCGGTCGGATTTTTGCCTTCCCCTCCCCTCCTCACCCTGTCATTGGCCACCGACACACACCAGCTGATGATATACATTTGGTAGCCGTCAACTTAAAAAAAAACGAAAGGCACAGTCAGCAAAAAGGAAAATGTGACGAGTCGAGTGGAGAATCAGCCTAAGAAACAACGCCAAAGGGGAGGGGAAAAAGGACCATGATCTGAACCATGTGATTCCCCAAGTTCGCCTCCCCCTGGGCCCAAGTGTCGATCCGCTAAACTTTGGATGGCAGACGAGAGGAGAACGATAGACACGGCGGGCGCTTGATAGTCTGTCCACTCCCCCATTTCGAAGTACAAGTACCTGGGTAACGTAATTCCACAGTCGATCATGAACATTGCTTTTCTCGCAAGCGTCCGTCGCTCTTCTGGCCCCAGCAAATGTAGTGACTTTCTCGATGCGCAAGTCCACACCATATCGGATTGTTGCTTGGGGCGGGGAGAGGGGGATCCTCCCAAGCTACCTACCTAGTGGTAACGCAGCCCAAAAGCTTGGAAGAGGGTGTGTGGTGTGTGATATGTGACTGAGAGATAGGACCCAAATCCCAAATGCTTGGGAATTTCCACCATGACGAGCGGTGTGGCCTTTTGCGATATACGCGGGCGCCCGTCGAACCAGATAGTACGGCTCACGCGGGCCCGGCTTGGCGGGCTCATGATGCAATTGTTTCCGTACGGGGTGGGTGGCCAGTGATTCCACCAGAGAGCGAGTATGCCCAAAGTGATAGCGCCTTGGCCTGTACCAAGGAACCATCCATCCAAGTCGAGAAAGCAGAGCACATATTGTTACGAGGGAAAAGACAGCGTGCGTTTTCTTTTCACACACGAAGAAGACAAAGAATGGTAGGTGGTGCTGTTAAAGCAATCTCATTATTTGCTGACCCCTTAAAATCATAGGGCAGCGGATTGTATGATATCTTCCCGTCGTGAAAAAGAAGCTGTGCTACTTGCGAGCAGGTATCCCGTAAAAAAAAGCAAAAACCCCCAATAATTCCATATTCCTCCCTCCTGTGCGAGCAGAGAAGGACCAACCCCCAGGTCGATCATCAAGATCCCCCCCGTGTGGCCCTTCTGTGCTGTTGGGGGTATCGGCGACGATATAAGGTATGACTCTCTTTAGATACGACGCCAGACCCAGATGCTCTATTTGTACAGTTTGAAAACAAATTCCCCAGTTGATGATGGTTTTGGTGGATTTGCGAATCCCCCTTTCGTGAAATTTCCCCTTTCGTTCCCATGTGATAGATATCCGCGACCAGATTCGGTTCGACAGATGTGAAAGAGAAAAAGCGGAAGGAAAAGAGTGGTATTAAAAGTGTCGGTAGTTTGGTGGTGGTAGTGCTGTGTGACGTAGTGGTTTGAATAATAGTACAGTGGTGAAATGCGTCGCAGAGATTGCCGCCGGAATGCAGAAGTGAAAAAGAAGCCTCGGGAGAACCAAGTGCGGCTTGTTGTTTCTTCCCTGTAAGAGCCTGCTCCAGAGTTTTGTGTGGTTTGCGCGCGCGGTGTGCTGTGTTTCGGACGGGGTCGTGGGATGCCGTGGGGGGTTTGGTTTGGGTGGTTTGTGTTGCTGGATAATGTGGTGGTGAAATGGTGGGCAGCGTGCCGTGCAAGTCGGCAGGGTGTGCGAGAGCGAGTGACACTCAGGTTGCAGCAGATGCGGTGCACGAACGGCATGCAGTTCCAAGGAATTGGATCTTGGCTGCGTGCGCCGTGCCCGTCACCGTGCTTGCAGACCGAAAGCTGGGTGCCGTGGAGCCGTGGCACCGCTCGAGGCGGGCAGGCGGTTGCGGGCAGGCGGTTCGTCGTCCATGAGATATTCCAGTCGAGAGGTAGATGTAGTCCGTTCCGAGTCCCGTCCGAATCAAAACATCGGCGCTCCCTTTAACCCCTCTTGGGCAGAGGAGGGAGAGGGCGGCTCGGCGGCGGGCCGGGACAGGGAGGTAGTTGCGAAGGTCGCTGAGCAGGCATGGTGGAGAGTAGGAACGCCAGCTTGACTGTTGTGAGGGTGTCTGACTAAAAGGATCTCTGGTGCAAGAGATCCCGGAATGGCTGAGAGTGGTTTGGTGAGACTTGGGAATCACGATCCGAGGTGGAAAGGTGACACTGATGTGACGTTTTATACGGCGCGAGTACCAAAGGGCGGTTGTGCTTGTTGTGTGCGAGTGGCCGAGCAGGTCTGACAAAGGCGGCTTTGTTGCTATTGTTGAGATACGAGAGCACAATGATGTTGTCTGATATGATGTGAGAGCTGGTGTGTGTGGGAGAGAAAGAGCACGGTTTGATTGTTCGAGAAGAAGCGGAACGCGTTCTTGGGACGGAGAGGGTGGACGAGGGCTGCCTTATGTAGGTAGGTAGGTAGGTTGGTAGGCAAGTAGGTGAGGTAGGCTCCCGGCAATGAGCAGCAAGAGGACATCTCAAGATTGCCTAATCCGAGCAGGGGGCCCGGTAGAGGACGAGCGGGTTTTGGGAGCGAAAGGAGAGCGACCAGGGGTGGTGCCTGCTCGTCGCCCGCCCGCCGCCATGCCATGCCATCCATGGCTTGCGCTGAAGCCTTGTCGCGGGTCTGGTCTGACGAAAGGGAAATACGGAGACGGAGAGTGACACGCACACTCAGGCTTACGCTTAGCTGCGCGCCGCTCATCTCACTGCAATGAGACAATGACACAAGAGAGGAGACAAGGGTGCAGGGGGGTGGGAGAGAGAGAGCAGGGAGCAGGCAGGTACATGGAATTGCATGCATGCCTCTCGGGCGGTGAAGCGAGACCGACCTCAGGGCGGCCAAGGGAGAGAGGACCCCCATTGTGGATGCGGTACCTCAGCCCTTTGTACCCCCCCCCCGGTGGGATTTAATCAAAACACCATGCGATGCCGGCGTGTACAAGTACAAAAATAACATTTGCGGTTGTGTGGGTGGGAGATGTACCCCCCTGCTGGCCTGTCTCGCCTGTCTGGCTTCTCCGTCCAAGACGGTGCTTCTCCGTTTAGGAGGAGGATTTGCGGTGACGCAGCACCAACACCCAGTTCGGATCCGGGCACCAAGAGACGGAGAGGGAAAATGAAACAAGCACAAGCGCATGGAGTCCCCTGTCTCTGGCTAGCTTCACGGCCCCTGGATGGCCCCTGGGCCGCTCCGAGACAAACCACCACAATCGCGGTTTTGTTGTCGTCTTCGCGTCCTCTTCATCCACGTCTATTATTGTCTATGGGAGGACTGAGGTAGGTAGGTACCTCTATCAGTCTGTCCGTCTGTCTGTCTACTTTTTCCCTGGTGTGGCTACGTGCGTCTCCCTCGGCCTCGCCATGATCGCCAATCATTCAGCTTCAACAATCTAATTGTCTCCCTCGAAAAAGCCCCAATGCCAGCTCGGTCTGCCCACCCGGCGCGGAGACTAACTGCTACTAGCACCACCCACCAACCGCCTAAAGCTGAACCTGTCAGCCCGGCATGCCCCAAATTGG